AGTATACACACTGTGAAAAATAATTAAAAACAAATTGTCAACAATATTTAATGATGTTTTTGGCTCTCAAATGTTTTATTCATTAGCACGATTTCCCACGAAGAAGCCTGTGTGAAACAGGCATTATAGCTGGCCTGATGGAGTCGCATTTGTGAGCCTTGTGGAAGCACAGAACAGAAGAGAAGTCGGCTGACAACAGTGTTCCCTCTAAGCTGAGTTAGTGTGAGTTAGTTCACTGTTTTTAGCCTCCAGCTCACACTTTTTCATCTTAGCCCAGGAAGGATGGCTCCAGAGCAAACTAATTTATGCAGTGGCCAAATTGCTTGCTCACAGCTTCAATGCCCATAGCTCACAAAGTAGCATTTTTGCTCATCGGGCTCCACAGCTCAGAGGAAGCATTGGCTGACAACCTTCAGCACTTCCGGTTTTCAACAAGGTCAAATCACAGCAAGGACACGATAGCTGAAATATATGGAGTTCGCTTGTTGAATGAATGAATGAATGAATGAATGTGACTGCATCAGCGGTTTATAAGCGACACTAAAAGACCGTTGAGTTTCTGATACATAGAAATTGAGATATCTATTGCATTACATAAATTTAGTTGTTTCTATAAATTGCAATTTTCGTTATTTGTCATGGGGCGCAGGGCTTTTTTTGCAGAAAAAGGAATTTTTGCTCCCAAGACTCCACACAGCTTAGCGGGAGCATTGGCTGACAACCTTCAGCGCTTCCGGTTTTCAACAAGGTCAAATCACAGCAGGGACACGATGGCTGAAATATATGGAGTTCGCTTGTTGAATGAATGAATGTGGCTGCATCAGCAGTTTATAAGCGACGCCAAAAGACCATTGCGTTTCTGATACATAGAAATTACGATATCTATTGCATTACATAAGTTTAGTTGTTTCTATAAATTGCAATTTTTGTTATTTTTCATGGGGCGTCTACGTGGTTTAACAACCTACCCCATGATCTCTCTATTTTTGTAACCTCCAGGTAGTGGCTGGAGATCTCCCGCTATTACAACTAGGGTTGCCAAACCCCCCGGTTTGCTAGGGGTCCCCCGTTTTGCCAAGGGTTCCCCGTTTTTTGGGGGGGGGTTCTACCCCATCCCCAACACCCACAGCCACCCCTCTCTCTCCCTTTAAGTGTGTGGAACCCGTGTTTCCTCCCAAGCCTGATCTCTGCAAGCTTGATCTCCGCAAGCTTGCAGGGAAATGCCAACTTCGTGCTCTTAAAAGGGAAATGCGGCTGCTCTTAAAGGGGAAACGCCAGCTCCTGCATTTAAAAGGGAAACGCCGGCTCCTTTAAGTGCAGGGAACTGCCGTTTCTGGAGATCTGACGCACGGGCAGGGGGGTGGGGTGGCGGACGTCCCCAACGTGACGTCATCACGTCGGGGATGCCCCGCCCCCTCCAGGAACGTCTCCAAAGTCCCCCGCTGGGGGTGGAAGATGGACTTGGGAACCCTAATTACAACTGATCTCCAGGCGAAAGAGATCAGATCACCTAGAGAAAACAGCTGCTTTGGAAGGTGGACTGTACTGTTTGGGATTATTCCCTCCTGAGGCCCCTCCCCTCCCAAACCCCGCCCTCCCAGGCTCCACCCCTTAAATCTCCAGGTATTTTCTAACCCAGAAATGGCAACCCTACCCCCTTGCAGGAAATGGTGGGGGGTAGAGTTGCTAGATTCAGATTTGGAAACTCCTGTAAATTTGGGGGTGGAGCCTGGGGAGGGCAGGGACCTCAGTGGGGTATAATGCCGCAGAGTCTACCTTCCAAAGCACCAATTTTCTCCAGGGGAACCGATCTCTGTAGTCTGGGGATGAGCTATAATTCCAGGGGATCCCCAGGTCCTGCCTGGAGGCTGGCATCCTTAGGCTACACAATCCTTTACCCACTTCTTCAAGAGTAATAAGTCCCATCGTATTTCACAGATTCATGCATCGGGCCAAGGACCAAAGTAAATATGACTTTCTTCACAACTCCGTTCAAGTGCATAGAGTTCCATGTAGCTGTCTTGAACCGGCTGTATAGTAACTACTGTGCAGAAACAGTAAGTACTGAGACGATGATGGAGACGTTTCACCTGTTGAATTTCAGCTTGACATAACAAGCTGCTAAAGCAATGGAATTCTTGCTAAGGAAAAGAAGGTAGCT